CCTTGTTCATCTTTCGCTGCCTGAACCACTGTGCATGCTGTTTTTTACGAGTACTCGTACATTGGCTTGGGATGTGGGGGTTGAACAAACCGGCCATCAGATGCCTGCTTCCACGTAGCCCCGCTGGATACGGGAATGACAGAATCACTTGTGGTTCCGTTATTCCCTAACTGAATGGCATCCCAACGATTGCTTAATCCTAAGGTGTGTGTATCCGTACCGAGAGGATGAATGACACTGAGCCTATCAGCTGTCTCTACGGAACCTTCGAGATACTGGGCGCCCTCTCGTCGTAGCATCGCCTTGTCACGGTAATGCGGGGCTCTGCCGTGATTGACCTTCTTTCCCTAGCTACTCGTGGGACTTTTATGGACAGAGTAAACTTAAAAATTCTTTTTGACGCTGAGGAGATGATGTCGAGCTCACGACTCCAACTGACCTCCCTGTAAATTTAGATCAGGAGCGAGAACTTCTCAAGTCTCCATCTCCTGATCCAATAACTGAAACTAAAAAAAAGGTTTGGTAGTGCAGCCAGGAAACGACTGAGTCGTCTCCTCAAGAGCGGGGTACCTTATAAAACCTCCGTGCATCAACTTTTTGAGCGGCGTACGCAGAATCTGTCCCAGGTGGAGGAACAAACCCCCTACGAGCAGGTTAGCAAAAGTTTGATGATTCACCAAAACCAGAGGCGAAAAAGCCCTGCACGGTTGAATCTAAGGCATCGTCAGGTGTAGCTGACGTGCAAAAACCCTCATATGGGAAGGTTGTCGCGGGTATCAAGATGGGAATCTTGCACCTTGACTATTCGACTACCGCATCAACGATGAAACAGCAGAGCATATACTTTTGTCTGCTCGCTGGAGACCGAATCAGGTTTTGAGTTCGTCAGAGCCGTACTCTTACTATCTGACCTGAAAGACCACTCACCATACAAACTAATCGGCTTCGTTAAGAAGCTGGGTTTATTTGGTCGAGTATGAATAGGTGTGAGCCACAATAAACCCTTGCGGGTTGCGGTGGAGGAGAATAGACCCACTCACTTTTGACCTAACCTAACCTAACCTAACCTAACTATATTGTGTAGCAATCTTGTGAATGATATCTGCTTCAACCCCATAACGAATGTTTGGAATACGAACTGAATAGAGAAAAGTGTTTTTTGTATAATTCAGTGTTCACATAAAAGTATTTGTTTTGAAATTATTTTTCTTTCGTCTAATTTGATGTTTGTTTGAAAGTAGTTGTTTCGAGAAGGTTTTTCTTCCAGTTTGTGTCTGAAAGTTACTTCTTTGCATGATCTACACATCTTTGTAAACAGTTACCTTTTTAAAATTGATTGCTTCCTTTCTTTCTTTAGAAGATTCCCACTTTTTTTAAGTAAAGATGGAGAAGTAGAAACTCCAAACCTTTCTCCCCCAAAAATTAATCTCTTATATACTCCTTTCAATTTGAATCAGATTCCTATGACTGGGATTTAATCAAATAAGTGAATGAATGTCATATGTACTGTCATTGATGCCATGAGTAGATTAAACTCATTATAATAATAATAATTTATTAGTTCATTAGATTATGTCTAGCATAATATATAACAAGTCAGCATAGTACAGTATCAGTATAAGATAAATTAATATTAAAAACATTTTACCCAAATTGTATTCAATATAATTAATATTGTTATTGATGTAACTAAGTGTATGACAGAATGTAAAAGGACTCAATATAATAATATTGGTAGTTAATTATTTGTAATTGGTTCTTATTACTATTTCATACATAATACAAAACAAGTCAGGTGTCAGGAACAGTTTCCACACGAGTTTACGATTATACAAACAAGAGACTTAACTTATAAACAGATTTCAGATCATACATAGAAACTTCTAAAAGCAATAAAAACAAGTGGTTTGATAAAATATGAAAATACGCATGCATACATAAAATATAAAATCTGTGTCTCCCAAATACTCACTTATAGAGTAGTAAGCTTTTTTTAATAATATATTTTTGACTACTACTTTAATTTTATTCAAAGGAAGATCTTTGTAGCAGTTTGGTAGATGATTAAACAAAGTTATTGCCATGTATTTTGGGCAACGTTCTGTTTTTTGAAGACGGTGATTCGGCACTTCCAGGATTGCTGCATTTCTTGTGTGATATCTACTGTTTCTCAGCGCTTTGAATGAGGCCAACTCTGTTTTGGCATATATCAGTATATGCATGACATACAAAGAATGGAAAGTCAGGATTTTCAGCTGTACAAATATATTCTTACAGATTACTCTCCTGGCCACTCCAACAATATTTCTAACGGCTCTTTTCTGGAGTTTGAGTACCCTATCGGCCTCCTGTGATACTCCCCATACTATGATTCCATATGTCATTACTGACTGAAAGTGTGCAAAATATATTATCATCAGTACTGATTTTTCGACGGTCTTCCTGATTTGGTACAGGAGATAACACTTTGGAGCTAGTTTTTTGCACACATCATTTATATGGGTAGTCCATGTACAGCGTTCATTCACATACAGCCCAAGGAACTTCGTAGAAGGTGCTTGAGTGATAGATCTGCCGTTAGTTTTTAGCAACAAGCTGTGGTCGAGTTTATTATTTGAGTGACTAAATCTTCTAAAAATTCCTCAGATATTTTGATTTCTTCATTGGCCTTCAGGACTGTTTGCTCTACATTGCTCCCTGTAGCTATGAGGGAGGTGTCGTCTGCATACATTGTACAACTTTCATTAGAAATGTCATTCACGTATATCAGATATAACAGAGAATCTAAAACAGAACCCTGTGGAACCCTTACATCATTTGTTGTTTTCAGCGAAGTGTGATTGTTTGCTTGAACATACTGCATCCTGTTTGTCAGATAACTATTAAGCCAATCATGTACCACTCCTCTGAAACCGTACAGTTCTAGTTTTGTTAAAAGAATTTCATGGTTGACAAGATCGAATGCCTTGCTTAGATCCAAAAAGGTGCAAACTACTTTGTTACCTGTGTCTAACTCCTCCGAAAGTTCATTTACAAGCGTCACCATTGCATTTGAGGTTGATTTGCCTTTTTGGAACCCATACTGATTCGTGTTCATTAAATCGAACCTATCCATGAATTCTGACAAATTCGTAATTATATGAACGAATTGAGTGCTTTTTCTTATGAAGTTATGCAGATTTGGTGCTGAAGAGCCAATAAGACAAGTGTCTTACGCGAAACATTGGATGTCCACCAGTGAAGATGACAGTATTCCATGTAAGTGAAATTTTATCTCTCTTTCACTATATTGAGTAGTTTGAAATACAAATTGAATGCAGAAAAGTGTTTTTAGTATAATTCAGTGTTCATATAAAAGTATTTGTTTTGAAAGTATTTTTCTTTCGTGTAATTTAATATTTATATGAAATTAGCTATTTTTTACCAGTTTGTATCTGAAAGTTATTAATTTTCATAATCTATACATCTTTGTATTCAATTCAATTCAATTCAATTTTTATTTCCTTAAAATTAGAGTATCGAATCTTAACGTATTGCTCTTTAGAATAAATTTTGAGATCGACCGCATTAGCCTAGGCAAAATTGCTTGCCTGCCATGTGCTGATCAGAGAAATTTAGAATTAAGTGTACATTGTTTGACATGATGAGTAAGCAAAATAAACTATATTTCTTATATTGAATATTTTACTTCCAGATGGGATCAAGAAATCTTTTGACTTTTGAACATATAATGAAAGTTCATTATACTGCCTTTGTAAACTTCTAATATTAAAGTGGATAATTCCTATACCGCACTTGTTTTCATCCGCTCTACCCTGTATATGGACGTTATCACATATTTTTGTGTCTATTTCAGCATTATCGTATAATATACCAAAAAAATCTATCATAGTACAAAAATTTGTATGCTCCCAATAAATGAATGAAAGGAAAATTTTATATTTAGTCGAACATACAAGTAATAACAAAGAAAAAAAAATTGAATAAATACCTGAGCATATAATTTCTTCTGAGAAATATTCATTTATATTCATTCATTAGCAAAGTACTGCGCTACCTGTAATATAATCATTGAACTTCTTCTCGTTGTGAGAATTTTGTAAAGTCATCTTTATTTTTGATGATATGCACTTTATTGTCTTTATTGATGTAGATTTTACCATTGTGGGTCCATACATTTTTGAGTCCGAATTTTTCAATTGCTGTATTCAATAGTTTCACCCTCGATCCAGTTAGGTCTTCCCTTGACTATCCCTGTTCCTTTGAGAAACTTTTTTTTTTCCATAGATTGCTTCTTTAATCTCCAAGTCATTCCTCTTGTTGTGCTTTCTTCTTTCTTGCCAATCCTGTAGCATATAGAGATGTCCTTGTTCAATAGGTTTAGTAATATTTTTGTATTGAAGAGTTTTTTTCAATTCATCTCTTGTGTTTTCATTTGGTTTTTCTTCGAGGCTGAATATTCTTAGGTTATATGATCTCGTAGCTTGGTCCATCCGATCAAGTCTATATTCCATTTTATTCTTTTCTTCTTTAGCCATTTTCATTTCCTTTTCCAGGAGTTTAATTTTATTCTCAAACTTTTCGTTCAGTTTAGAGTAATTTTGGCTGAGCGCTGCCACTGTGGATTAGACCTTCAGTAATTTCTCGTCTATGGTTTTTGTTATAGCCTCAAAGACTTTCTTTACTATTTGAGAGATAAGACTAGCACTTTTTATGCCGTTGGTTACTGCTTGATTCACTGCTGATTCTATTTCTTCACGGATTTCCCTTGTTAGAACCATATTCCTGTTTCTAATTTCACAGAATTCAAAAGCAGTATAACACGTTACTAATTTTCACTTTTAAAAATTTTTATTTGCCGTAATAACTTATTTATTCACATATATTTGGGAGCTACAAATTTAGTCGACTACTCACTAGCCATGAACTTTTATGAATTATAGAATTACGTTTTTGAAATTGAGATATTTTAAAGGAATTACAAAAAATATTCAACTCACCTCTCTACATAGAAGCTGACTGCTCAACCTTTGGCTCATAATTCGATATTGTAATTTAACTTTCTCTTGAAATTTTGATGGGATTACAGATATCGTGGTGAGAGTATTACCCACAAACAGCACAAAAAACATGAAGCTCAAAATTGGAACCTGGAAATTAATAAAAATACCCTGAAATATCTATTCCAAATTTTTGACTATTTATGGTTGAGAGAATCATGTATGAATAGTTGCGACGATAGCTTATTTTTAAAACTCAAATCTGTCAACTTTTGAATTTTTCTGCATAAAGTAGATTGCAAATTGTCAGGTGGATATGGAGATTTTTCAGTCCTAGTACAAAGGCAAATAAGGTATTTACACAATCCATGACCAGTTAATAAGACAATCCTCACACCATCTTCAAAATAATCTCATAGAATAGAATAGAATTTTATTAATCACAAAAATTTTTTGTTATATACAACAAGTAGTGTTAATACATACAAATAGAGCTTATACTCCTAAGTATCCAAACGCACAAAATTGAAAATCGATCTTTACATCAATACAATATCAATACATATAAGGAAGGTGATGATCCAGAAATCAATAAAATGTTGAGTGCTTATCAAAAGAAAATTCATACTACTAAATATCCTCACATTGCAATAATGCAAAAAAACTCAAAAAGGATATCCTCGAAGCGATTTTAAGGAATACAGCAATAACCCTTAACCAATAAAATACTTTAAATACATTATACATTTCAATATAGATCAATATGGCCCCTCACAGCATGTAATTCAAATTAATATTTTCGAAGATATTACAGATTTAAAATGCAGGGACATAGCGGATGCGGCGGTACCGGCCGGGAGGCCGACAGCAGGTGCCTATAAATAGTCCGTCGAAGGCCGCCCTTTGCCCTATAGCACGTTATGATTAGCAGCGATCGCACGCGTTTATATGTATCTTTAGTATCAGCATTGCACCTGTGCGGAGCCGGACTGCTCGCTAGTTAATCTATATTTTCCTTTTCATTTTATATTTGTAATAATATATTTAAATAGATTATTCTACATTATATTAAATCGTATACTGGCTGATGAATAAATAGATGGTGTAATGTTAGCGCAAAATGAAAATATTTACTTACATGCCAAGTTGTTTCGTGATCATAGCTCAAAGAGTATAGAGTGTATGCATTATAAAACTGGAAAATGTAACCAGCAAATAGGAATGGCAACAAAAAACTGAGACCCCTCCACATCCAAGAATGGAAACCCTCAATTGTGATATCCATATTGTGCCTTTCACCAAGAGCCTTTAACCTATATAACACTCCTCGTTGATATCGGAATTGAAGATATTGTACGAGACCTGAAAATTTCAGAAAGTTACATTTAGAAACCAAAAACAACAAACAAACAAAACAAAAGCAACCAAAATAGAAAACACTGTTTACCAGCTGAAAAATATTAGGCAAAAAATTGGAGTAATACGAAACTAAAATCATGATGAAAAGAGAATTGAAAATTTCTATGTTTTTACCACTTTTATTTGTAACTAACGTTACTGCAGTTTCGTCCTATATGGACATTCTCAAACCACGTAGCAACGGCTACATCCATCAATTTATTGAAACTAAAATCACTTATTGGTGAAAAATCTTAGATTCGGAGCAATAATCAATGGTAAAATATCGCATTTTGACATTATACAGGGTGATTCAAAAGTACTTTGACAAACTTCAGGAGGTGATTCCTCACAATATTCTAATATGAATTGTCCAAATAAATAAATGTCCGGAAACGATTCGTTTCCAAGATACAGGATGTTGAAGTTTTATTTTTATTTTCGTTTTTTTTAAATAACTTTTGAAATACTGAACTTAATTAAACGAAACTTGGTAATAGGAGGTTTTTGAGGTGTCGAATTCGAACCTGATGTTCTTATTGCTCTTACTCGTAGGGGGCGCCACCTA